TTTTTACATCTGACACTTTCATTATCACTCAATATTTAATATTATACGTCTGATATGATATAACTTTTATTTATATATTTATGAGACGTCTACGTATCTTTACGTTTACATAAATCATATATTCATATATTTATTGATATATGGATATCGATGTAACCGTATATTACTATTTTTACTTACATCAAACCCTTTTATGATAATATTGGAAAAAAAATGTTCTAATAAATAATCTGACATAATAGAGATATTTAAATTTGCAAAAATTTTCATCTACAAAAATATTTTATTCATCTCTTTTTACTCGTAAAAAGTTATTTACTAATTTACTCTGATGGATATTGAGTGATGTAAATGTACATTGATATTTCCACTCTTATCAAAGTCTTTTATGACAATAACAAAAAAAAAAAAAACTGTAATAATAAATATTCCGATCTCATACAGACATAAATTTAAAAATTTAAGTAATTTTCTGGTTAGTAAGAAATATTTTTCATTGGTGTATTTTTTTATTAAAACTTATTTATTGATTAACTCTGACAAATACTGATGTACCGATAAAAAATATCAACTTTATTCAACAGAAAGCATCTTGAATTAAAAAGATAATTTTTAAGATCTTAATTATTTTGAACCAAGCAGAAAATTTCTTGAAGTAAGAAATTGTTGTTGGTTTAAGTAAATTATACTTGATACAAGATAATCAAACTCTTCAAAATGATGTTAGTTCAAGATTTTTTTCTCTCAAATTAATTTTTCATCAGTATGAATAATCTCGTATATTACTTTCTTTTATCTACATCAATTTTCATCAAGACGATATTGGCAATAAAGACATATTGATAAATAATCTGATTTAATACAAACAAAAAATAAAAACTATCCAATTTTATAAAAAATTAATTTTTGAGTTAATCGCGTAACTTTTTATAAATAAGTTAATAAGATACTTTAACTATACAATCAATTATAAAAGATCTTATTAAATAATTCTAATTCTGAAAAATTTTCTTGTCCAAAAATTAAAAAATCTCCTTATTTCTTCAAAAAAACTTCAAATTCCTACAATTACCCAGAATTTATTCTCAAAATAATATACAATCCCCAGAGAATGTAGAGGTATATTCAGAAATAATAAGGAATAATTCCGAATTAATACAAGTAAAGAGAATTAGTAGCAACAGATGTTAATAATTATCAGTGTCCTATTTATTTGTAAGTATTAGCGCATTGTGAAATCCAGCTGAGCATAAACATAAGCGTGAATTTCTCATTACTGTGTACAATTTACAACATACATAAAGTGTCACATGTTAGTGATAGACCAGTGTACTACGACCTACGATATATTTAGAGTTAAACATGTAGTATAATATATACATATATACATGGGTAAGCAGTATGTTGTGTTAGTTTATTTTATCCATTTGTGGTAGAGAGAACCCTCAAGGGATTATACCATGGGTGGTTGATCCCCCTCGGAGCCTGATCGAATCATCAAGGAATAACCGGGGCATAATACGGATTTTCAGAGAAATATATTAGACATTAGACTAGTTTGGGTTGAGACGTTGGTTACCAGCGAATATAATGCTGGATCCTCGAGTTGATGCTGTATAGTAGCAGGAGGATCGATTTTACGGGAGTTGAGTCTAGGAAGCCCAAGCCAAAAGCTCGCTTGTTATACACCAGCAAGGAGAAAGGGATGAGGGGCTGGAAGTAGAAAAAGAAGAACTTTTTTGTCCCCAAATATAGTCATATAATCTTTCTCCGTTCTCGCTTATACGTCTGTATGTCTGTATGTACTAACACACTAAGAGAATTCGGGTTCTCACACCCCCGATGATTCGCGTTTTCTCTAACTCGCGGAAGACCTACCGACCCAGTTTTCCAAGCCTCACCCGCCACACCCTGTCTCGCGCTATTTCCAAGCACTATTCTCTTCGTATATATGTTTAGGTACTCGGTGTACATATATATATATATATACATAACATACACTGGGAGGAATATGCTGTACATATATATGAATGTACTCTGGCTTGCCATCGACGCCCTCTTTGGTATCCAATCCCATCTATGAAACTCCTCCACTCCCTTTGCTCTCTGCTCTCTTACTCTGCTTCTGCTGCTGCTACTTCCTAGACTTTACATTTGGTTTTGCACAGTCACCAGTGACCTGCCTGATAATCCCGATTGTCCGTAGTAACCGTTGTGGTGAGCATGATAAGAGAAGTGCTTTCCAACAACTTTCAAAATTCCTTTTTCATTTATTTTTTCCGATAATGTTTTTACCTAAATTAATATGACCTCGTGTAATAATTTAATCCATGTAATTAAATAAAAATCATCGCAACTCGAAAATTGTTAATTTACATAGCAATCAAATCATTAAATATTAAATTAAAATTATGAAAATTAAATTAGAGAGAACAATAAAAAAATTTTGAAAATAATTAAATTTATGAGATATTGTACTTCATTGTGAAAGAATAAATCATTTTAATTTAAAGTTTTTTTTTTACAAAAAAAGTAAAGATAGTACTTTTAGTTTAGATTATGAAAGTCGAGATTACTAATTTTATTCTTAATTTCTGTACTTTGTACAATTGTTATCGTTACTTTAACAATAAGATTCGGATAAAAGTTGGCTGAAAAAATAAAAGTTTTTAACGTCACCTGAGGTCTCAATACTCGGCTACGAAAAAACTTTTTATTTCAGCGCAGTGATAGAACTAGAAGAACAAAACTTATATTACATAACACACTTTCTGGTGATGGACTGAATATAACGTCTCTGCTGCTCTCCAAGTGGCTGAATATGCGCAAATATATAAATATATAACAATAAATACATATATAATATTATATTAATTCGATACTGCACAGGAGAAGTTTACGAGAAACTTGTCTCGTTTTCAAAAGATAAATTTGAATTCTCAACTATTAAATTAAATGAGCAACTTGGTGACGTAAAGAGATTGCATAAACGTTTCAGTTTTTTTGCTTTTTCCGCGAAGCATCTCAAGTACTCGGGGATATTAAGAGTAAAATATTGCCGCTTAGAGGTTAGTAATTTTTACTGTGCTTGATATACATATTTTTGAAAAGTTGAGAGATTGTTTTGGTTTAGATGCTCAAACGATGTTTTATTATGGTATTATTATGAAATAACAATTGTTAAGGCTTAACAAAAAAACTTAAAATACATAAAAAATTTTTTAATTACTTTTGTTAAGTTATTATTTTTCATACAATTATACAAACTATATTGTCGTTACGTTTAATCCTGTAATTAATTTTATTATTGGGAAATAAATAATATGAGAACACATTTTTTATGAGAAAAATACAATATAAATTCTTAATGGTTTATACTTAAATAAAAAATTTTTCTAGGTGTCATTATTTTTTAACATGCTTTTATTAGCTTCACCTGTATTTATATGTCGATCTATGTAATAAAATTGTTTAAAATGATTTTTACTAACTTCAAGACGTCTAATTAATTTGAAAATGTGAAAAAATGATTTATTTTACTGGTTAAACATACACCTTTCATAGAACTAAAGTACATATTGCCTTTCTTTTAATGAAATAAAATATCATAATTTAACGAATTGGGTTTTTAATTAATCTAACGAACTTTAACATAAATCTCTACGGTTTTTTAAAAGAATTTCGTATGAAATATAGGTAATCATAGACGTTTATTGTTAATATGATCTTTGATAAATGAATCCTAATTTAGTCTGCGGTTATATAAAATATCTATAATATATACAGAGTGCTAGAGGGAGGGATAATTAAGAGATGCAATTACAGAGTGTGACAGTTATGCGTTTGTGTAATTTGTTTGTCGGAAACTTTGAGTATTTAAAAAAGAATCCGGATAAAATGTCGACAGAGAAATAAACATAAGAATAAAGAATAGAAAGAATAACCTGTCGCGTATGAAACATAGACTTCATCCCGTCGTTTTTACGGAAATCACGTTGACCTCATTTGCACAACTCTTTTGTTAGAAACGCATTCACGTTTTGTTCTATTATCACGAGCGTACGTTTTGTCGGCGTTACCAACCCACTAACTATAGAATCCCAAGTCCTTCAAATGTCTATTTGCTACTTTTCATCTGTTTCCTTACTTATATAGATACACATATATTTTTCTCTCTTTATTTTATATTTTACTTTATTTTATAACGTCGCATGCATACATATCCACATCTTAGTCTAACCGATAATATTCTCGTCACGAAAAGGCATTTCATCCATCTGAATTTTTATGTGGAAGTTCTCGGGACAATAAAAAGCAAAGGGCAAACTTTTTGAATTCAAACGTCTCCAAGTGATAAAGAATGTCTCAGTAGAACTGATATTACTACATATATAGAACTGTACAGATCAGGCGAAAAAATTTATTCGGTACAATGAATAAAAACCCGCGAGAGTTAAACCAAGTAAAAAATGTTTTTGAATTATATATGTATATATAAATTTTATATCTACTTATATTATTAGTACAAGAACATTTCAACATTTTTGCGGTTTAAAAGTTCTTTGAGCCTGGAGAAATGGAGAAATACCATCCAACATTACGTTCCATCTCATTCGAATTCAATTTTATAGTTAACTGTACGTAAGAATTTTCATCTCATCATTGCAATTCTTTTTTAAAGTTTTTCAAATACCTTTTTTATTCGCTCGAGCTTATATCACCCTTATATTGTGTTACGTGAAAATTCTAAGTGTATCTTGGGTCTTTCCACGACCCATTTTATTTAATTAAACATTTATATTTTTTTATATTTATATAAAAATTGAATCCATTATATATTATTATTGAAAAAAAAAAAAAAAAAACATGTGATACATGTACATATATGTATTTGTTATTTATTTAATTATTAAAGTGTATAATATTTTTAATAAATGTAATGGATCGTCCCAATTAAAAACTGCAACGTCATTTCGCTCGGAAATATTAACACATGAAGCATGCATGACATATCTGTTGCTGAGCAATTATATTGTAACCTGATTAAAAATGTGACAGGTGAAATAAAATATAAAATATATATGGCAAATGCGGATGTAGAATATCAAGTTTTCTATATTGTATGAACAGAGTTTAAGTGTATTAAGCTGTCGAGGTTAATAAAAAAATTTCTCTGTATTTTTCAGGCGATGGAGGCACCGCTGGGGATGGCGAGCCCATTGTCGGGGGTGGCAATTCCGAGAAAAAGCCTGGATATGAGACTAACCTTTACTTGTACAGCGTAAGTACATATATTTTTGTGGATATAGATATGGGTCATTCAGGCCAACGACTGTTTTTTTGGACCATTCTTATAGTCGTTTAATATTCTGTTGCGTGCTTTGTAAGAGCTTGTGTTGATTTTCGAGCTTATATTTATATAAAAACAATTGATTAAATTAATAAAAGAAAGAAAATCTTAAAAAATGTATGATGTAGTTCAATCAATTTTGATTGTTACTCAGTGACTTGTTTAAAAAAAAAAATTTCGAACTGAGAATCAATGGATTTCGTCAAATAATTTCAAAGGTTTTTTTTGAAAAATTTCCGAATCAAGTAAAATTTACTTGAACTAAAAAAAATTTCTTATTTCAAGAAGTTTTCGGCTTGATTCAAGATCGGATTTTTTTAAATTTTCGTCTTGAATCAAGTTAATTTTTTTCAGTATGAAAACATAATAATATGTATTGATTATCTCCAAAAAACAAAAAAAAATGTTGACTAAGGAATTACACTTCTGCTAAAAGGTTTTTTCTGTCAAAAAAAGAAAGAAAAGTCAAATATAAGTAATTTGACAGAGTACAAGTAATGACCCATATCCATAGTTTAACCCGTATAATAATTTTATTAAATGAAACTCTCAACTGGCTGACTCCATACTCTCGATATCTGAAAACTATACAACAATACATTACAGTCAAGATTAACGTAACATTTTTCATTGCTATTTTTCCTCCACTCAATCGACTATTTTCAGTAAAATACTGTTGTTATTGGCAGAATTCCACTCGTTCTATTCACGGGATAAATTTATACCTATACTTAAGAGACAAGTGGACAGAAAATCATTTGCAGACAGATCATTGTCCAGAACTTTGACCGTGATATATATTTTTCCTCGATTATTATTATTATTATTATTATTATTATTATTATTATTATTATTTTTCGTAGATGATATAGAATATATATGTAACGAGATGATAAATAAAATTTTTATTTAACACCGAGCACAGCTGATGGAGACAAGGGATATAAAAAGTTTATAAAAGAATATAAAGTTAAGGTCGAGAGAGGAGTATTTGACTTCGATCAGCGATTCTTGAAGTCTTTTGCGCTTCGGTCTCTTTCAATTTCAAACGTACTCCCAACGCCACTTGTCTCACATTGAAATATCTGCATTCACAATGTGGTTAATAAATATTCAATAGACTTTAGAGTTATTTTTACTTTTAGTGATGCTGTTGCTGGCTTTTAGTTTTTGTTATTTTAATTTTTAATTCTCAAACTTTTATTTTATTTTATTTATTATTTACTTTTTTCCTTATTTTTTATTATAGTTTAGTTCAAATATAAAAGACAGGAAGGGGAAGGAGAGGAGAAAGGAAAGGTATAGATTTTTCTTTACATTTCGTAACCTCAGTTCGCTTTTAAAAGTAAAGTGGAGGGCCAGGAGGCACAGCGAATTGCCTGGAGGGTTCTACCGAGCGACAATTAAGAGAAGTCGAGTTGTTGGTTTTTTAATGAAGCACTCTCCTCATCTCAACGTGGTTTATACGTTGGCCCACTTTTTCTTATCACTGATCCTTCGAACCGCTATTTTTCTCATCTATATTTTATTGATCAAATTTCATGAAATTATCCGCATCTACATTCTCACTCTCAGGTTAAATTACAAAAAAAAAAGTTTCGAATATCTCGTTGTTAAAATTTTTCAACTTAAAAAAAAATACTACTACAGATAATATAAAAAGCAAAAAATTTCTTTCAATTTAATACGTTTCATGTGTAAGAATTCCCATTTTAGTTATTACATAGTTGTTTAAAAACTTTATAACTAACAAGTTGAAAAAAAAAAAAATAAGTTTTCAGTACTCTTAGGTTCTTATCCAGAGAAGAGATTTCAGCTGTCAACTTTTCATAAACTTTCATGAACGTTAAATTAAAAAGTCTTGTATGAGTTGGATAAATAATGTCATAAGTCATAAGTCTCAATTTATTTATTTTTAAAACTAAATAATAAGTTCCTAGAACTTTTAGAACCTAATTAATAGAAATTCTTTAAATGGAATTAATATTAACATTGTAAAAAATGAAAAATGAACTATCCATTACTACCATGAATATTAATCAATTTCATGCATGGGATCGGGGACTAGATTATGTTTATATACACGGAAAAAACTAAACTATAATAAATAATAAAAAATTTTCAATAAATAATAATAAATTGATAACAAATACTATTTCAAATAGTAAAATCGTAATTTTAACAGTTAATTTATGATGTTTATTATTATTGAATAAAGTACTTTAAATTAAAATTAAGGGCCAATATTCTGAAGGATTTTTTTTTCGATTTTTAAAATAATATTTCACATTATCCGTGAGAAAAAAAATTAATGATCAATCTTATAAATAAATGTTTATTAATTTTTGACTTATTAATTAGTGTTGAATAATTTTAAAAACTTTATCTTATTTAATTAAAAGTCTGCGTAACCAATACGCATTGTTACTTTTGTATAAATTAAGCAATTAATTAATTAATTCGGAGATCAAAGCGCATCGTGATACCTGTGCTGTGATAGACATGAACTTTGTACAGTAAAGTACCTGAACACCCCATTTTTTACTTTCACTGTCATGTTAATTCTTCACTTACAGTTTATATCCTTTGAAAATTTACAAAGTTGTTAGACTCAGTGAGTGTCATTATATGAACACAATTTGAGGGAAGTAGCATGTTTTGATGCGACAATTAGTGTTGTGTGTGTTATATATTATCTATTAAACTCTTTGAACCTCGTTGCACAAAATTAACTTTCGGAATTTAAATATCCGAGTAAATTGCGTTGGTAGGATGTGACAGGCGCGATTATACTAAAGGGAATTTATTTGATAACATTTATTTACTAAATGAACGGGTGATTCGATCGTATTTCAACTGGGCGTAGAGGAACACACAATAAAAAATAAAATGTTTCATTTTGTTTCAATTTCCGCTTGATAGGGAAAAAAAAACTAGGGGCAAAAAAAAAACTCGTTATCTAAAATACTTTGGTTTTTATTTTAGATCTATTTTTAGGGAAGTAACTAGTGATGCGAGACTTAGATATGTCTGACAGTTGTCTGTTTAAAAATCAATTAGTTATACAAAAAAAAATAAATACATCAATAGATTATAAAACTTCTATAATTATAAAATAATTTGAAATACAATTTGGCCAAAAAAGTCGAGGCATTGTAAATAAATAAACATTTAATTACATCGAATTTCACGAAAAAATATCTATGTAAAAATGAATAGTCAATAAGAAAATTATAAAGTTGATGAACAAAAATTCAAATTTTTACTATGTGTGCAAATTTTCAAATTAATTTCCAAAAATTTGTTTTGAACTAATCTCTCACAGACAAATTACAATTTTTCGCGTTTTAAAAATATATGTCCATAAAATTTAGAGTTTAAATTTTCTCTCCAGAAAAATTGCAAATAATATTCTTCTTATCTCATTCCACTCGAAGTTGCCCCATATAAAAATTACTTCCTTTAATACCGTCAGAAATAACCGGGTATGAAATAAAAATAAAAGAGTTTGAAACATATGTAATCATAAGATGAAAAAAGAAAAATAATAACCGGTGATAAATTAACGTGAATACTCTCGTTGATTTTATATTCAAAGCTCAACACCAAGCCCCAGTTCTACAATTTTCAGCACCATCAGAATTAGAAGTAGGAGCTTTTCATTCCCATCACGAACAAGACACTGAAGCGAAAAAAAATGTAGTAAAAAGGAGTTAAGTAATAATAATAAAAAATATAACAACTGCAGCTCAAAAGTTATCTGATAGCTTCTATTACCGAACAAAGATTTAGAGAACAAACTTTATGGGTTTGTGTTAAATTCACCAGGAGTTGCAACGACGTGCTGAGCATTTTAAGTTCTATCCCTTGTAATAAGATTATTGTTGTATGCACTATCAGTTAGCTTCGGCAACATACAAGCACAAGTTTAGTTCGAAGCTTGCATAGATAGTTAGTCGTGTTGCTCTTACTACTAATACTAATAACTAATAACAGTGCCTTCAGAGTAAGTAATAGTTGGTGAGGAAAGTTGAGAGGAAGGGCATTAAATACTAAAGAGATATCGAGCGTTTTATTTAAGGACCTTAGTAATTAGTAATAAGAGAATTAATGGCTTGAAATAAGTAATGCATGTATAACTCAAAATTGACTTTGGTGTTTAACAGGAAGACCTGGACAATCGTCCCCGGGTCACCACTCTACTCAACAATTTGGCGAGCTACAGCAACACGATCCCGGTTGCTACCGATCCAGATGCTAAATCACCACCTCCAGCTGGTGCCCCTGGTGGCGCACGTATGGGCACCATTGTCGGCGTCTTTTTGCCTTGTATCCAGAATATCTTCGGTGTCATCCTCTTTATTCGTCTCACGTGGGTCGTTGGTACTGCCGGAGCTATTCAGGGATTCCTCATCGTTCTCTGCTGCTGCTGTGTCGTAAGTCATTTACATTGTTATTACTACTATCATTTTATTATCTTTTATGGATCAGAGATAAAAATTCTATTTTTTTTCAATACTTTTGATAATGGACCAATTTATTGCTACTAATATTTTTATCTTTTTTTTTTTTCAATTTTCTGAGATTTTGGTCACGTGTTTTATGGTAGTAACTTTAATTTTTTATTTGTAATTTAAACTTTGAAAATTAGTGTTTCATTGCTGCCTGGGGTGTTTTTCATCCTAATAAAGTTTGAATTTAAATTTTAAAACCTAATCCATGTATACAACTTTATTAAAATTATGTTTTCATTATTAAGGTTGGTGAACATAAGTATATATTGATGAAACAGTGTTGAACTGATTTTTTTTTTTCAACATTGTGAAAAATTTTCAGACTAGCAATTGATCCAATGATTGTACTTGACAGAAAGAAAAATCAATTTTATTCAAGAGGAAGAATCTTGAATTAAGACAAAAAATTCTTGAATAAAGTCAAATTTAGTAAACCAAAAAAAATTTTTGAGTTTAAAAACATTTCTGTATGATTTAAGAATTAAGAAGATGTAACTCTTCAAAATAATTTTTTTGATTAAAAATTCTTTTGTCAAATCAAGTTAACTTTTTTCAATGTTCAATAATTTAAACTTCAAAATTTTACTTCTAAAATTCCTTTAATCCGTCGTCCTCTTTTACCCATATAAAAAAAAAGCCACTTTTTTTGTGAATTAACTTTGGCACTCTCCGTAACTTATCAGCATTATAAAAATTACTTTCCTAGTAAAACACTAAATACCAAAAACTAAAAATAAACCTATCAACTATCTCAGTTAAATAAAAATAAAAAAAAAAAATAAATTTTTTTTCCAGACCATGTTGACGGCAATAAGTATGAGTGCCATCGCAACGAACGGTGTAGTACCTGCAGGAGGATCGTATTTCATGATATCAAGAAGTCTCGGTCCAGAATTTGGTGGTGCTGTTGGTATGTTATTTTACACCGGGACCACTTTAGCAGCCGCTATGTACATTATTGGAGCTGTTGAAATTGTTTTAGTAAGTACTTTAAATCCCGACGTACACTTAAGCAACTAAATAATGATAATTAAAATAATAATAATGATAATAACTCTAGCAAACATAAATTACCTACTGATAAATATAATTTGTTACTGTTGTAACTCATGATTATTATTACTGTAGACGTACATGGCACCCTCGGCAAGTATCTTTGGAGACTTTACCAAGGACCCAAATATTATGTACAACAATTTCCGAGTGTACGGCACCGGGTTATTAATGGTGATGGGTACTATCGTATTTATCGGGGTGAAATTTGTCAACAAGTTCGCTGGAGTCGCACTTGCCTGTGTCATCTTGTCTATCATCGCAGTTTATGTTGGAATCTTTACTAATATCAACGGCAATGATGCTCTCAAGTATGTATTTTCATTATTCCTCCTCCTCCTTCTTCTTATTTTTCGTCTTCTTTTATTACTCCTCTACGTGTAGTACAGTACACTTATTCTTAGCATAATAAAAACTAATTATAATGTCAAGTTGAAAATTACAAAGTAATTAAGTAAGCGCTGCACTAGGTCGGTGAGAAAATAAGTGACCCGAGTTCCTCGACCACGCGGCTTATTATTAACATTTTAATTATCACGCCACCACACACGTCGCCACTAACAACTATTAACTATTAACCATTATATAGAATTAATTAATAATTATAAATATCCTAAAACTTTTCAGGATTTGCGTGCTGGGTAAACGGCTGCTGAAAGACATCCCCATAACGGCGTGTTACAAAAATGAAACAGGCCCGCTTGCAGACATTTTCTGCAACAAAACCACCCAAGTGTGTGATGCTTACTATTCTTCGCATAACGTATCCATCATCAACGGAATTAGGGGACTTTCTAGTGGTGTTTTTCTAGGTAATATAAATTTTCATACTTTTTTTTTTGGATAAAATGTTTGTTATTTATTCAAAATATAATACAACATTATCATCCACATAGAGTGATTCAAATAGAATCTTTATTTTTAAAAAGGACCGTATCGAGAGAAGTGTCGTTACTTGACAGAGTTTAGTCGCAGACTAACTAAGTAACTATAATGTTAAAACTATTTTATCGTGAGGTCTAACCCTCTGTATTATCCTTAATAAAACACATGTTTTTCTTTTTAACTAAGACCGTAATATTTGGATGTATTGCACGTAATAAAATAAGGAGTCCTATGTACAACTCAAGTACCTAAGGTCATAAAATCAAGCCTATACAGGCTTTCTTATTCTAGCGGCACAAATGTGCCTTAAATGTATTTTTCACATTTCAAAACTAATAAAATAAAATATACTATTTCTCTAAAATAAATATTTCTTAGAACAAAATATCTAAAATATAAAACTAAAAGTTTTGTAGCTGAGATTTATTTTTGCTCAGAAAATCCAACAGATTTAGACTTAAAATTTATATTAATAAAAAAAAATACAAATAAAAAATATCACATCATTTACTAAAAGTACTACAAATGTAACAATCCCGAAAAAAAAAAAATGAAATAAAATAAAAATTTTGCAGTCACTGTGTTTTGAAATAAGACAACTACAGGTATTTACCCAAATTTTAATCTCTTATTTTTATTGCACTTTTTTTAGAAAATGTGTGGGGCAGTTTCCAAGAAGAAGGACAGTATGTTGCCTACGGAGCTGATCCAGTAGATACCGACAGGATAACAGAGTCTACTTACAATTTTGTCCCCACTGATTTGACAACGGCGTTTACTATTCTTATTGGTATTTTCTTCCCTTCTGTCACAGGTAATTAATAAACTTCCATTGATAATAACTGATGAACAATAATTAGTAGTTAAACAAGGAATCATTTTTTTCAATGGGATTTTCATGAGATTTTAAACTTTTATTCATCTTGCAACAAAATATCAGCAGATAAAATACTCAAAACAATTAGATGACATCAATCAATAATAGTCATAGTATGAATTCTGTATTGATATATAAATATAAATTTACCATAGTTGATCATAAAGTTATAATCTTCCAGGATATTTGTATGTTCCTGATCATTAATAATTTAACAATTCTGTATAAAGAATATCACCATTCCATGAATAATTACAAAAGTTAGTATTTTTTATCTAAAGTAATTATTTATCAAAGCAAGTGTATTTAATTTCCAAAACTAGTCGAAAATCAATGAATTAGCAAAACCAAATCCCGGATCAGCATTAATGCTAAACGAAAAGTAATGATTCCTAGTTAATATCTCCCATTGTAAATTACAACAATAAATAAATCGATCTACGTTATTTATAAAATTACCAGGTATAATGGCCGGTTCAAACCGTTCTGGAGATTTAGCCGACGCCCAAAAATCAATTCCAATTGGTACAATATGCGCAATAATAACAACTTCAGTCGTGTATTTATCAAGCGTGCTGCTATTTGCGGGAACAGTTGATAATTTACTGCTGCGTGATAAATTTGGTCAGAGTATCGGTGGTAAATTGGTAGTGGCGAATATGGCTTGGCCGAATCAATGGGTGATACTTATTGGTTCATTTTTGTCAACCCTCGGTGCTGGATTACAATCATTAACCGGAGCACCGCGATTACTACAAGCAATCGCAAAGGACGAAATCATACCTTTTTTGACACCATTTGCCGTATCATCGAGCCGGGGTGAGCCAACTCGGGCATTAGTGCTGACCGTCGTAATTTGTCAATGTGGAATACTTTTGGGGAACGTCGATTATTTGGCTCCTCTGCTGTCCATGTTCTTCCTTATGTGCTACGGGTTTGTAAACTTGGCCTGCGCCCTCCAGACTTTACTCAAGACACCAAACTGGCGACCAAGGTTCAAATTTTACCACTGGAGCTTGTCCTTTCTCGGGCTGTCACTTTGCATCGCGATTATGTTTATGACCAGCTGGTACTACGCACTTCTGGCGATGGGTATGGCCGGGTGTATCTACAAGTACATAGAGTACCGAGGAGCCGAAAAGGAATGGGGAGATGGAATTCGCGGTCTTGCCCTGTCAGCAGCAAGATACTCCCTCCTTAAACTAGAAGAAGGTCCACCGCATACTAAAAACTGGCGCCCACAAATTTTGATCCTCGTTAAACTGACAGAGGAACTGGTGCCCAAGTACCGTAAATTATTTGCATTTGCAAGTCAATTGAAGGCGGGACGTGGATTAACAGTTTGTGTCAGCTGTGTAAAGGGCGATTATACCAAAAATTCTGGTGAAGCATTGGCTGCGAAGCAAAACCTCAGGCGAATTGCTGATGAAGAGAAAGTTAAGGGGTTCGTTGAAGTACTGGTCGCTGGAAATACTATTGATGGGCTCAGTGCATTGATACAGACCACCGGATTGGGCGGAATGAAACCCAACACTGTGATACTGGGGTGGCCGTACAAATGGCGTCAATCTGAAGACGATAATACTTGGCGCGTTTTTATTCAGTCGGTACGCAATGTTACTACGTCACGCATGGCTTTGCTCGTACCTAAAGGCATTAACTTCTTCCCTGACTCGACGGAAAAAGTTGTCGGGTACATTGACGTCTGGTGGGTAGTTCACGACGGAGGGTTACTTATGTTACTGCCGTTCTTGCTCAAACAACATCGCACATGGAAAAACTGCAAGATGCGAATTTTCACCGTCGCACAGATGGAGGACAACTCTATTCAGATGAAAAAGGATCTCAAGAAGCTGTTATATAATCTACGTATTGACGGTGAAATTGAAATTGTCGAAATGGTAAATTTTATTATTATTTAATATTAATTTTTTTTTTAACATTATTAAGGTAGTACAAGCGCTGGGTGAGGTGGGGATAGGTATCGACTCTAGCGTGGTAAGGGGAGAGCAATAACCATATGATTTTTCTCAATATATTGATATACATAGGTATTAGGGTGGTGTAAAAAAACCGACTATTTTTTTTTTGAGTCTCGAGTGAAGAAAATGTTGGTTTTTGATGTTTTAAGAGCTCTCTCCAAAGGACAGCTTAATACAAAATTTTTAAGAGGTCGCTCCAAATTTTTTTTAATTTCAACAACTGTCGAAAATCGAATTTATTTTTTTTTTTTAATTTTTTTTCTCGTTACGTCATAATTTTATAGACCAAAAAAAAAGGTTTGCCTGAACGTTTCAGTTCATAATGTGAATTTTAAAAGGTCGCTCATAATTTTTTTTTAATTTATTAGTGACTATTTAATTGGGTTAGCATTTTTTGACTCTGAAATTTAAAAAAAGTTATGAGCGACCTTTCAAAATTTGAATTATGAGTTGAAACTTTCAGGAACTTATTTTTTTTTTTTGGTCTATAAAATTATGAGGTAACGAGAAAAAAAATAAAAAAAAAAAAATTTCGATTTTTGACGATTTTTGAAATTTAAAAAAATTTGGAGCTACCTCTTAAAAATTTTTTTTTAAGCTGTTCTTTAATGTATTTACTTTCATCCATAAGTTTTTTAAAAATATTCACCCACAGTTTTACGAGAAAAATACAGAAATGTATCAATGCTTGGAGGTTACCCCACAAGACCAATATTAAATTGTTCAACTTCAAAGTCAATTATTTATGTAAATAATCGAGCAATCTCCTTCAAATTTCGGAATTTATTTAGACATATTTAAACTTCATAATAAAAAAATATCAAGCTTTTTATCAAAAGTTGCTTTGGTGCTCGTGCTACCTTAAGCTATTAAACAAGAGCAAATCTAAAGCAGATGTATGAAAATATATATCTTTTTTTTTAAATGAAAAAATTCCGAACTCTAAATAAATTGTTTGCTTTTATTCGGAACTTTTTCTAATAAAAACTTTTGATTATAGTCTACAAGTAAAACTTTGATTGTTTAAGCGTGTATAAAAACTTATATGACATGAGATTTTACTTTTTTTCAATCGCTTCGCTCATCTGTCGGATTGAGTTGCAAAAAACAATTTATTGTGAAATTTTCATTAGACACAAGAGTTTGGAAACCGGAAATTTTTTTTACTAGTGTAAGACACTAGTGATGCGACTGATTTTTTTTTTTTTTCCAGAAAAGTATTAAAAAAAAAATTTTTAGTTTTAAACCAGGAGTAAATCATATAAATCAACACAAAACTTTTTAATAAAAACTCTTGAAATTTTATCGGATTAAAATAATCCCAATCAAAAATAATAATAATAATAATTGAATACAATTACTAAAAGCAAATATTGAAAGTATTATATTTATTTCGCCCAGTACAAACAAAACTTCAATTAACCATTAAAAAAATGGAACTTTGTTGAGAGTTAAAGCAGTATTAATGCATAGTACTTTGACGAACTTTGTTAACTTTGATAAAGTAATAATTAATCAAATTAAATTCCGCGAAACCAAACAGATAACTTTGACTTTAAAAGTTTATTATAGAATCCATCAGCTGCAGAGTAAGTTCAATCGAACTCTGAATAAGTAAATTCAATGTGAATAAATATAAACCAACCAACTTATCAAGTGGAATAAATTACTATTTCAATTGCAACAGAATAATTCAGAATTCTTGCATCCGTACATTTACCATTTTACATTTAAAAAAAAACACTTCTCGTTTCACCATACTGCACATAACGTCGATCGATTTCTGAATAATATTAATAATAATTCAAATTTATCCAGATGGACTCGGACATTTCGGCGTACACTGTCGAGCGTACTCTGGTAATGGAACAAAGGAATCAAATGCTACGCGAGCTGCAGCTGAATAAAAAAGAGTCCCAGGGATTGGTAAGTTTCCTAATTTATTCATTTATTAACTATTAGTTAAATAAAATTGTTTGGTTAAAAAATAAATATTAAATAACAAAATGCATTAAATTTATAATTAACGTGATGAATGATTTAAATAACGATGGATACTGATAGGAATATATCTCTTTGTTGTGTGCTCGTCACGGATAAGGTGCCGACATTGGTGGAATTCAACGAGGTACACACCGAAGAAAAGTTACCTCTGGTTTGTCAGATAGCACCCCAACTTCCCACTTCAAAGCCTTTAATTCCTAACTTACCTTGACTATCCTGATTATCAAGTATGATTTATCACCTTACATCATTTATCATTACCTCATTTATTATTCAACACAAGTACTCGCAATATTTATTAATATATATGCACACACCACTTTATACATTTATATACACCATCATTTATAACCATAAACAATAACAGACTTGTCTCGTTTCTTATCGTTTGATTGACAATCATTTTGTAGTTTAATCTAATATTTCACTGTTGAGTATCGTTTTGTTCGAAATACATTGTTCTAAATTTATTAATACCATGCATAGATATTTACAATATAATAAAAAATAAGGATATTTATTTTCTCAGTTACGGAATTATGAACAAAAGTTATTATTTAATGTAAAATTAATAAATTTATATTTTGTGAAAGTTAACCTTTGATTCATAAGAGCAAAATTTATATTTTTTTCACTTTTTAAGTTACAAAATATAATTTTGATAAAAACGATCTGAACAAATGTACGTGTAGAGTTTTTTTTGTTATTTAAAAAAAAAAAATTTTTTAACAAGGCGTAATTTGTTAAGAAAAATTCAAAAATTTTCTGATGCGTTTTCTGATATCGTTTAAAAAAAAAAAACTTTAAAAAACAAGCATCAATTTTTTTATAAATAATTCAAGAGCACATTTTTTGGACAAAAAAAAATTTCACAATTAAAAAGTCCAAAATTAGTTATTAAAATATTACAAAAAAATAAATGTCCTAATTTTTTATCAGAAATATCCATAAATTATGATAAAAATAATTAATAATTTTACTTACACGGTAATATTACAATAAATACGAAAATTTTATGACAAGGATTTTAGAATTAAAAAATTATTGATATAATTATTGGTGATATTTAAAATAACAGAAATGAATATTATTTATTGAACAGGTTACTCGCCACTTATAAGTAAAAAATTTTAATAAATCTACGCAGCATAGATTTTTCAGAACTTTGTTTACAGACAAATAAAAGTCTCCATTTTAAATAATCAAAAAAAAAAAAAAAAAAAATTGCAATAGTACTTACTACAATAAAGTAAAGAAAATATTTTATATCCTACAAATTTATTAACTATACTAAAGAATAATTCAGGTGTAATCTTAAATAGATAAATTTAGCCGACTTTTATAGTGCCCATAAACACAATGTTGTTACACTGGAATACATTTGAATACGCGAGATTCCATAGTCTAGATTCCGAAATACCTGAGCTGCCAGCGTAAATATCATTGGCTTAGACCTAAGGTAGAGCTTTGTTACTAGACTCCATGTAGTGGTCCATCTTACAGCATTACGTATATAATACTGTCTTGAAAATTTTATCTCGGGTGTAGTGTAAATGCCGCCGAATTTATGATACTTACATTTCAGAAATTCATGAAATATATAAAATTGTATGATTTATATTTCAGAAATTAAACAAAGTACCAATCTCATTAGATCTTTATTAACGACCAAAGTAGAATTAAAAAAAATTATAATATACTTTTTACTATGCCATTTGCAATAAATAATATTTATCACCTATTAAAAAGTTTTTGCAGCTCAATAAAATATTACAAGACTTAAATGTGAGAATCCTTTTATCAAACTTGTAAAATTGAAAATTTATCAGTTTTGCTTTTTACTTTTAAAACTTTGAAACAAGTATTGTATTTTTATAATGCAACTATAAATTTTTCTTATACAATTTACCCATAAATTTACAACGAAAAACTCATAAATTTTATCATAAAAAATACTTGTCATAAAATAATAATAAATTTTTAACAGTGTTATCAACAAAACTTAACTTGACTTATTTATAAAAAAACAATTACATTAATCCTTAGTCCCGTTAACGTTTTCACAGCTTGGTTGGCATAAACAATCATTGCCCCGGCTTTGATAGATTTTTTTTATATAGAATTTTTGTTGGCGTTCATAAGAGCTTATTATGCTAAGTGAATCATTTATTGATTTTTTATTGAACCATTTCATTGAATAGTTTAGTTTTTTACCTTATCATAAATCCAAAACCAGACTGCTAATAATAAAAATAATTTTTTTTTTAATTAAAAAAATAATAGGTACAAGCTGTCGTCGACCATCACCACAGCGTTGACGTGAAAACTGCAACCAAGGTGCGGTTCCAAGAACCGAACTCACAGCAGCCCAATGGAATTGAAGAATCTCAGGATAAATCTGCGACTCAAGAAAACCCCGCGAGTAAGGAGGGCGATGCTGTTGAGAGCAATGAAAAATCCGAAGATGCTGCTGATAACAAAGCTGTTGGCTCCCCTAAGCCAGACGCTAAGGAAAAGAGCGACAAGGAAACTAAAGAAAACGATACATCTGGATCGGCGACTAAGAAACCTACTGCTCCGTAATTATTTTGTTTATTAATCTTTAATTTTTGATTTGAGCGTTTGTAAATTTTTATTTTACTCATGTTTTTTTTGTTTTATTGTTTTAGAGACCAAGATGACGTGAGACGTATGCACACAGCTGTTAAACTGAACGAAATTATAGTTAACAAGAGTCATGACGCCCAATTGGTAATCTTGAACTTACCTGGTCCGCCTAAAGATACGAGAATTGAACGAGAAGCCAATTGTAATAATTATTTTATTTTTTTTTTTTTTCATTAGTCCTTTTTAAAATTAATTTTTTCGGAAATTTTTCGACAAAAATTTGAATATTAATTGTTTTATTTTATTGAAAAAAAAAAACAAACCCAACAGCTTGCGCCATTAACAGGGTTAATAGAATTATACATAAAGTAAATATAAATTTATATATTTACAAAGCTTACCAAGATGTCGTATAACTAGTACAATATTTAATATCGAATACAATATTTTAATATAATATTTAACAAAAAATTTAATATTTAATATGATATTTATGCGTAATTTTAACGTTAAATAAGTAGCTTGGTGACACATTAGTGATCGTAGATAATTTAATATTATAGAAAAGGATTGCACAGGTTCAAAACTGTTAGAAAGCTCAAACTAGTCAGTTTCATATATAGCAGCTACTAGACTAGACTGATCAAAAATTTTTTAAATTATACCTATGACGAATTACATTTTCATCATATGTTTTATCCAGTTTTATTGACAAGCTGAAATCAATAATCAAAGCAGGATGATAGGCATCAATGCTGACTAGTGTCTAGTCTGACCTTTCCACATTACATATTACAATTATTGAAAATTCGTGCACAAAAATTCGGTCTTCTGATTGTCGTTGTTAAATTGATATTTATAAGTAAATATGAATTTATGAAAAAAAAAAAAAAAAAAAACAGCGAATTTATTTCATTAATCATTTCTTTTTATATATAAATATATTTGCAAAGAAAAATATTTTCGGCTTTGTTATAAGGCAGAAGCTTAGACAATTAAGAAAAGTAATGCATAATAAATTTGATAAAGAGTTATTTATGCAAAAAGTTTGGGATATTGTTATTGGGAAGAACAATTGATAAATTTTTGTAAGAAAATTAATAATAATTTTTTAATCAAGTTGATTATAAAGCAATATTTGTTTCACAATACCACCTTAATAATAAAGTTCATAAAGAGAAAAAAATTTTTTTTTCCAGAGAAAATTTAATAAAATAGATGAAATTAATTTTTAAAGTTAGATTAAGCTGCTAATTCGGCTTTTATCATAATAGTACCATTAAATGTAACGACAAAAGTTTTAATGTGTAAATTAATCACAAGTTGCCACAGTAAATACGACAGGTTTTCAAACTATAGTAAATACTATAAAAATATGGATATTAAAAAAAATCATTTATAGTTTTTCAACTTATTGATAATCAATTTGTAAAAAAAATTTTTTAATTACTTTAAATTATGTTATTTTAAAAAAGGACTAATGTTATATATTATTATGCACTGAAAAAAAAAAACTTTTATTAAGAAAATTTTTTTGATACAAGAATTCATATTCTTGAAAATTTTCAAAAATATATATTCTTAGCTCAAGAACTTGTTAAATTGATTGAAATAATTTTTAATTAATTTAAATGAAGCTATTCTCTTGTTTATCTATTATTCAAAGATAAATATTGATGCTCTTCTCTTTAGAAATTAATAATTAATAATAATAGAATATTTGATCGTGATCGAATTTCTTGAACCAAGAAATTGTTAATTGAGTAAAAGTAATTTTTTTTCTCAGTATGTTATAAATTAATAACTAATAAATTATAATATTTTGCAGATATGGAGTTCCTTGAAGTATTAACCGAGAGCCTGGAAAAAGTATTAATGGTACATGGCGCAGGCCGTGAAGTAATTACAATGTACTCGTGAAGTGAACTGGCAGTAATTAATAACCTCAACAAACATAATAACAACAACCATCAGGAACGCTTCTACGACAACAAAAACCACCACCTTGACATCCTCCACCGTCTTACTTATTTCAGATCTATCGATAAGAGCGGGATGTCTTACACTAATATCGTGCCATCGTGCGCGGCATGACCTACGTTTCGCTGCGTCACTATCATTTAAAAAAATGATAATTATTAATTAATTAATTAAATTAACTAAACTAACTTATTACTAACTACTAACTAATGATCTAAGGATTGCGTTTGTTTCTTACTTTAAATAGACTCTTACTACATAGCTCGACGTATGATCAAGTATAAACTAATATAACATTAATAATAATTTTAATATTAATTACTAAAGATAAGATTAACAATAATAATAACTTCTAACATAAAGATAAGAATAACATTAATAATTAATAATAGTTGTAATTTATAATTATATAACAATAATGATCGCACGAGGACGAGATGGAGATTCCATTAAAGCGGACTTACCTTCTGGTCTCGTGACGTCCGAATATTCTAACAACTTATCGATGCCAAAGTTACGTGCCAATGGATAAGTTTACTTTACGTGGATTCCGCGGGTAGCACAGCGTAAAGAGAAAAAAATTAAATTATTTAAAAATATTGATTGATAAGTATTATGATTAAGTAAAATAATATAAATCTAAAATCAGTAAATGACAAAAAAAATTAAGATGGTAGGTAATGCACTCTTTGTTAGACGGCACTTTTAACCGAGAATGAAGCTATGAATTTCGCTATTAGAAAAAAATAATCGATTCGATTTCATTTAAATCGTTCTAAAGAGTAAAACCCAAAAATTCTTAGATGTGAGCATGCAAACGAAGAGCTAGTCTTAGTTCTCCGACAAAAATATAAGCAAAAAAAATAAAATTAATATTAATACATTTTGATCCATCTCATTGAAACGCAAATCAAAATTTCAGATAAATAAAAATTTTTAAATTATAATTGCAGTTAAAGTCGAAGCATCTATGAAAAATCACTGCCAGTAATAATTTCTAAATGCTTCGGCATTTAATTGACATTTAAAATTTATTAAAGAATGATATATAGGCTCATTTTTCTACATGCATTGTCGTTAGACAGTTGAATGTGTGTAATGTCACTGCTTGTTAGATTACTTAAAAACGAAATCAATAACTAATTTTATGGGAAAAGTAATTGTAAATTTAGGAAGCTAGAGTATGTAGTGATTTTATTTTTATTTTACTTTAATATGAATGTTTAAAGTCAAAACTAAATATTATGTACTTGAAAAAAAAAAAAAAAAAATGAAGAAATGTTAATTTTAATAAAATTCGCGACTGATTAATTTCATTTGGACTTTGTACTTTTAAATCTCAGATCTCGTGTTTATATTTATATTATAAATATATAAATATATATGATACTCAACCATACTGTCCAAGGCCTATCGGTCCAACCGAGACGAAGTATCGTTAATACCAAAAAATAATTAAAGAGAAAAAAAAATAAGAAAGCATTAATTAATAGTAAATTTTAAAAATATTGTACGCCTTTTCTTACTAGAAATTATTAATTATTAATTAACAATTGACAATTTAACAAGTATTTTCATTCTTATATATTTTGATCCAATAATGAAAAATATATAACATGAATATTAGAGTTTGATTGATTAATTAAATAATTAATTAATTAATGAAATAAAAAAATAAATTCATTGATTTAATTAATTAATTAATTTATTTATTGAGAAGATAAATAAATAAATTTATTGACACGGGCGTGTTGCGTTCATGTGTATCCGATTTTACGGCTATACATCTAGATAGGCACTATAGATTCGTGATCTTTTTAATAAAAACTAATGATAATGATAAATAAAAAAAATCTATATATAAATAAATATGTGTATGATTAAAAAAAAAAAATACTAAAAAAATAATGATCGAAACGGTCGTGTAGAAAAAATTGAACTAGATAAATAATCCTGTCTACTTAATCGATGTCTGTATTCAGAGATATATGTTATATTACTTAAATAACAAATAACGATTATAAGTCTAAATGAAATTCTATAGATTATTTATAAATATAAGCGGCAAACTTCTAAACTTTTGAGTAAAATTTATTTGGACGAGTGTTAATTAATAATTGACTTATAAAAAAAAAAATATTATTTATAACTGAAGCAGGATTAATGTCAAAAAAATATATGACATGATATGTATTGTGATTAGAGAGCGTGGATTGGACACGCGGGCGTGTTGATGTATTTTAAAAATATATTTAACAAGTTAACGAAAATGAGAGACTAGAATGAAACATTTAAAAAATTAGTATTTAAATATTACGTCAACAGCTCGATTGTTAGTGCACAGCGACAGCAATAGTAGATAGGAACTCGAAAGTATGTTATATATAATATGAAAAATGAGTAAATTATATTATATTATATTATATACGATATATACGAAAATTTTAAATGAGACATCGCGATGACGATTTTAATTAACTTGCCCGATAATAATTCTGTACAATTAATTGACTATCAAAAAATAATTTCTAAATTTATAATAAAAATTACGATTTTGCATATCCTGCTGAATTTAATAATCTTTACTCGTCTATCGTGAATTTCATCTGAAATACATTTTATTGACAGAAATTGATAACGTACTCTAAACAAATTATAAATATATATTTATATTTATATAGAATTCACGGATTATTTTATGGTAAAAATTATTCCAATACTCAATTAAAGTGTCTCGGATTTTAGTGATAATTTTTTATTTAAGAATAAATAGTGTAATTGAAATATTCAACGAAGAAAATTTTAAAAAGTAATATTTTTAACTTTTCTTCTGATAATCGGATATTTATTAATTATATTAATAAATCCGTCATGTTCAATCTCACTATAGGGAAGATTAAAATCAACTTGAATTATGATTGAGATATGTATTGAGTAATGAGTAATTTTTACCATAGAATTTCCGTATCAAAAACAATATTAAAGCAATATAAATAAAACTTTGTCGACGAAAGATTCAATCTAATTGCTGCATCGTAACAAAACAAAGTATTTCAACGCAGAGCTGATGAATAGATTACTATTATATTTAATAGTAATCATTATTACTATTAATTATTATAAATTATAAAATTTATTGAAAGAAGAAACAAATGACAAATTATTATAGTTAAATAATTAAATTAAATTTTATTGTCAGTTGCGATTTGTATTTTATAATTTTATTACGTTGATTAATTGATTAATTAATTATATATATAAATAAATATTATTATTAATAACATATGTATGTGTATTATAAATATCCATGCGTATGATATATGTATTTTGTGAGTATATTAGTGATCGGCACTGCGTAGTTTATACATCATTGTTATTGAAAACAAAAATTTATTATATTATTTTTATTATTATTATATAAATGAAAAAAAAAAATATAAATGCTGTTTGAATTAAGTTACTACGTTGTAAATACAGATTGAAAAATAGATAGTCAACGAAGATCAGACAATTAATAATTAAAATAATTTTAAATCAACAAAACCTTTTTCATTGATCCGTTCGTATTGAAAACAATATATAATAAATAAATAAATAATAAATACCGTGTTTTTTTGAGTGCACAATTGCTCGTATGATCATTATCATGTAAAAACAAAATTAATTAATTAATAAATAAATAACAACGTACGTATTATATATATATATATATATATTATAAAAAAGTTCATTAATTAACAAAAGCTTGGAGTTAATTGAATTATTATTAATAAGTTTAACTGTTGATAATAAAATTTTAATTTTGATTTGTTTCTATTATTATAGTTCATTAGTTTGTTTCATTTCTTCTTTTGTTATCGAGAATAAAATCACCTCTAGGCTGTGAGATGCGAGCTAAGCAGCGATAATCTTGCTCGAAACCTCAATCATATGTGTCAAATGAATAAATTTAACCTTTATCATACTAACTATATAAAATTTAATTAAAAAATAATAATAATAATCTTTACGTAAATTATAAATATATAAAACACATTAATAAACATATTACACAATATTTCAAATCTTAATCACCCGTTAATGACGATCGAATTATATTTTAATCGGTTTTCGGCATTTAACTTCACGTACAACAATATTTAAGTAATTATTATTACTAATATTATTATATATACATTTAATTATCGAGCCATACGAAGGTAAATGGATAATATATAAATACATAAATTATCTTAATTAATAGAATTAAGATAAAAAAAAAAATGTTTAACAGAGACAGTAAAAAGTATACACTTATTATTGCGATATTATATATTTGTAGATACAGAACAAAATAGTCGTCTGGCTAGAGAGTAAAAATATAGAGTCAATACTGTGAGATACCTATAATCCGCATAGATGCTAGTAAATAATTAATAACTTGTAATTAAATTATACTTAACAAAAATAAGATAAATTCTATGACAAAAAGAAGGTATTACAATTAAATTGATTTAAAATAAATTTTAAAAAATCACATTATTCCATGTAATTATTTATCTCCCAATTTCTTTGATTTTTATTCTTCTCAAGTTATTTTCTCGATTACATATATTCATTTTTTTTTACCTGAAAAGCTGTCCTACTCACCTCTTCTTCAGTGATATTAATTCAGGAGAAGAAATATTTATTTCAATATTGAAAAATAAATTTACAATAAATACTCACATTTTTTAGAATAAATATTATTATTTATTATATATTATTATACTTTGTTTTCAAGCGAATTGGAACATTACAATAACATTTATTGTTTTTGTTTGGTGTAATCGTATACAACAGTTATGATATGATTCATTGACATTTATTTCTTCCTCTAGAGTCAACTACTATTTTTAATAATAAGAATAATAATTATTATTAATATGAAACTTAACAAACAATTGATACACTTAACATCGAAATTCTTGCAGCAGTTACATGACAGTGATTGACTTTTTAATATATGTATATTTTATCGCTTTCATTGCATAATCACAATTATAATGATATAAATCAACAATAAATAATTGAATTAAATTTTATATTAATAATTTGCCAACTTTTTAATTGAGAAACAATTTTTTAATTAATTAGTTAACAACAAATATCAGTTTATTACTAATTGACTAGTCAATAGTCACCAAATAATCAAGTAAATTTAATATATAGAAATTCTTTGAATATTTCGATTAAAACTTAATCATAAATACATTAGTGATTATTTATTACCCTTTTAATTGTCAATTATTATATTTATTTCAACAATGCAACGTACACATATCAACATCAATAATAGTAACATCTATACACTCAAACATATACACTCCAAATATATACTATTTATACTTTTGCAATATAGAGGAACCCCGGTACAAACAAAAGAAAAAAAAAAGGAATATAATTTTATGGGAAAATTTTTTTTTTTATGAAAAAAAAACTTCATTTGGCGTTTTTTCTCTTAAATGAAGACAATATAAATTATTCATCTATTTAGACTTTATAACATGAAAAATAAAATTTCATTTTAATGCCCTAGTTTTACAAAGTGCTTTATCTTGTAACGTTAATTGCATTCTTATATTATGTCCTTAATTTTCACATAAAATTTAATTTTTGACATGATAAAGTTATTTCATTATAACAAATGTTAAAATTTAAATTAAAATTTTTTACTTTTGGAAAATTTATGAAATTAATAACAATATAAAAATAATTATTTATTAACTTACAATTTTAATTAATCAAACTTGCAATTTATAAAAATATTTATAACTTTTATTTTTTCCTCCTGGTCTTAAATCATTTGATTAATAAAATACATCTGAAGGCAAAATAGGGGCTGGTAATTGGGTACTTAACTCAATCTACATTATGTTTCAAATTTATAAGATTACATCAGCTATAAAAAAAAAATTTCCAAGCATCCCAATACTTAATTCGTCTAAATAATATATTTTTAGTAAACAAAAAATTTGTCTAAATTTCAAAGTAGTTTATTATTTTACTCAAAATTCCTCTATACTATTAAAGATCGTAAATTTTATTTATATATATATATATATATATATATATATATATATATATATATATATATATTAATTTCACAAGTCGTACGATATAGGGCTGCTCGTTATTTTTCCCAAATAAGAGTCACCCTAGTACTACGTGACTCAAAAAATAAGTAACAAAAAAATAAATCCTTTTGTTTCATAAATAAATAAGTAACAAATAATTAAATTTTACTAATTGTATTTTATATTGTAAGTACGTATATATGTAGCAATTTGTACGTATATCATGATATAATGAATTTAATGAAAATAAATGGGCGCAAGCCAAGTAAATTGTAGGTGGTAAATAAAAATAAATACAATACTTGGCTCTTTGGAATATTATTGACTCGTTAATTAATTAAATATAAAGTTGAGTTGAGTTGTGTTGGGAGTTGTTAGTATTCGCTGATTAAGACGAGCTAAGAGCGTTTACTTTAAAAATCAGTTAGCGGCCGTTTCGCAAGCCACTCGACAATCTCTGGAATCTCGTGAACTCGTTGTTTTAATCCACGAAGTCCTGGATAATTATCCAGAGCAGCTACACCAAAAATTTGCTCGAAATTCTCAAGAGCCACTGCCAAAACAAAATCCGCCCATGTTGTCTGAAATTTTTCATTATTATTACATTATCATATATTTTATTTTTCAAAGGTGTTTATTGATTAATTATTAGACAGAAAAAAAGGTTCACTTAAAACAAGAAAATATTTTTCTTCCTAATTATTTTCTTGCGAGAAAAAAATATTTTTTTTAACCCAAGAAATTTCACTTATTCCAACAAAATTAATTCTCTTGCTTTAAGAAATACGTATCTTGATCTAAGAAAATTTATTTAAGTCAAGAAAATCTTCTTGTTTTGAGAAAATTCAGCCTCTTGCTCCAAAAAATTAAATATCTTGATAGAAGTAAATTTTCATTAATTTTTTTATTGATTAACATGTCAAATGGGAAGCTCAAATAATATTGAATCATTTTTTTTCATTTAATATGTATAATTACACCCTGAAATAATATAAAATGGGTATCAAATATTCAAGAGAAAAATTTTCTCAAGGTGAGAAAATTTTTTTCTCAGCTGAAGTAGGTAGCGCTGCTTCCCTAAAGTATCTAAAAATCTTGATCAAATATAAAAATTTATTGTATCAAGTATTTATAATAATTTGAATTAAGAAAAAATTATTTCTACCAAGAATAGAATTTCAAGAAAAATTTTTACTTCGGCCAACACAACTTCGGTCTTTCTTCGGGCACCCAAAAATTTTCTTGAGTCAAGAAGAAATTTTTCTTTCTGTGTATATTAGACCATATAATGTCTTTTGATCAATAACAATATAAACCTTTGATTCAGATTCATGTGTTGTTATTTTTTCATTTTCTTTTATTTTTATTAATTACTTTGTTTGACTTACTACTGAGCCGACGGCAAATCCGCCATTTTCAACGATTGTTTGCTCAAACTTGTTAAGATAGAAAGGTATTGTTTCTTTAAGGAGCTTGACCTTCTTCTCTTCTTTTTTTAGAGGATCTTCTTCCGTTCTGTACTGAAATATCACTGTTGAATAATATTTGTGAGTATTTATATAATTTTTATATTTTTTCTACAAGACTAAAATTTTATTAAAATATTCTTAAATTTATGGTCACTCGACAAAACATAAAAAAAAATTAAAAATAAAAATGTCTCATTTGAAAAAAAGTTGTAGTGATAAAAAACTTTATAAAGACTATTAAAGGTAAAAATAATTTTCAAATGTTATAGGTAAAATTATTCACATAAATTATCTAAGGTAAAATTTTAAAGAATACCGTTTTTATTTACGGCTCAAATGATCCCTTTCGCCAATACGCTTTTAAAAGTAAACTTTTCACTTTATATTGAACAAAGTTTTAACGTGGAATTAGGAAATTTCATTCAAAATTCAAACGACTGTTTAAAACTTTTATGAAAGCTAGTAAAATATTCAAAATTATGTTATTAAATTTAAACTTCGATACGATTTATTGAATGTAGTACACAATCCGAAATGAAGTTTATTATGAGGTGAAGTAATATTCATAAATAAAATATGAAACTGATTTAATGCAAAGAGGATTTTATTCAACAATTGTGATATCAATGTTCAATAAAAAGTTACAACTGGTATTATAGTATAATAAGGATTTATTTTGGACATGGATATTAAAATATTATGTTGACTTCAATTTTTTTATCAATCAGCCAAATAATCATGACAAATCATTAATTATTTTGCTGTAAAGAATAAATTTAATAAAAATTATTTTAAGAAATTTTGAAAACAAGACTGAAAAGTTGGACAAAATTTTGTCAACTCTATTGTTTTCCGAATATTTAAAGTATAAAATTTATTTAAAAAAAAACTTTTATTTGTGTTAGTAAATGGATTTTTGATAGACTAATTTTTTTTTATTTTTGATGAAATTGTATCAAAATAATATCAATAAAAATTATTTTTTTCAATTTTTTTTTCTCAAGTATTTTTACTGAAATTGATTAAAAGAAATTTTTTTAGCATTAATAAATGTGAACTATTGATCGATTAATTTTTTTTTACATTTTATTATTTTTTAAGTTAAAAAAAAAAATACTGACGAAAATGAATAACGTAATGTGATAATAAAATATCAATTATATGTTTAATATTTTTAAGATCGTAAGAAATGTATATTAACAAGACATGTATAATTAACGCTTCAAATGATCGGTCAATACATCCTTGACCAGAATATCCCGACAAAAATATCCCAAATACAAAATATTTCCATCATATATTCCCATCCTCGCAAATAATAATTTAGACAGAACTGGGTCAAAATATACTTATATTATGAAAGGTAAAAAATTATTTTTTAAGTCAAATATGCTTTTAAAATTATTCTACCGTGTGAGCTTGGCGTTAAAAATTGACGTTGACGTCACAATAATTAATATGATGCGAATAAAAAAAGCCAAGAGATTTATAAAGCATTTGCGTGGGTTTTTAATCCCACCAGTCTGTATCTCACCCTTGAAACAATTCCTTGGCAAATATTTCGTTTAAAAAAAAAAAAAAAAAAAAGTTGATGTTAACGATTAAGTATAAAGCGTATTGGCGAAAAATGATGAGATTTCTGTTAAATAGAACATTTTCAGGGCAGTGTTTATAAACTGGTATATTGATTTTAGGTTAATTACCCAACTTAAGATCCCCGAGAGTATCAACGAGTACATCGCAAAGCATCGACTCCCACTCATTTTGACCTGCAAGTCCGTATTTACGGGCGAGAAATCTTCCCACTGCATTGCTTTGGGCTATTGGTTTTCCGTCAATCTCCAGCACCGGCAGCATTCCGTACGGCATTGCTAATAAATCCACAATATTACTTATTATTTATTATATATAACATATAGACAATTTTTTTTGTTGCACAAATTTTTATTTCTTCCTCCTTTTAATTTTATGTTTAAGTTCTAAGCAGCCCGTTATTTCAAGTTCACTGGTCATTTTTAGATGGATAATCTCGTGAATTTTTATGTATGGAGCAAAGCTGGTGAAAATAAAATTTTATGGATTAATACAAGGCAGATTACTTTTTTTATTCGACGCACAATTTCAAATATTTAATTTTAAAGTTCATAATATTTTTTTTTCAGCTCTCCATTGTACTTTTCAGCTTTGAAATCATTGAAGCCTCAAAAACTTTATTTTTTTCATTGAAATAATTTTTTTATAGAGAAATAATACTTTTTATCAAACAAAAAAAATTTAACAAACAAGAAGCATGAAAAAATAAAACAAAAAGATGTAAAACATGAACAAGAAGGAAAAACCAATTTGTTTGCTAAAGGGAAATATTTTCTTGGTCCAAGTTATTAAACATTAATTTTCGATCAACTGCACACAACTTGAATGAAAAATTTCTTAACAGAAAAACCCAAGTTGTTGACATGGTCTTAATTAGAAAAACGGAAAAATAGTTGAAATACGCGATCACTGATTATTTTCAATAATTTTTTTTTTATTTATAGAGGATTACATAAAAAATATATAATAATTAATAAAAATGATCTGGACATTAAAGACTCTTTATATTTTGTAATGTAAATTATATCGCGTTATACTAATGCTAAAAGAATGTATCTCATATGATAAGTCTTTTTGATTCTACAAAGCCAAACGCGCGGACAAACAGAGTTTTTTTTCTTCAATTAACTTGAAAATATATGTAATATTTAAATCGGTAGGAAAAATAAAAAAAAAATTTTTGGCATACATTCTTTTTGGCTTGGAGAAAAAAGTTTTTAACGCCAAAAAAGTGTATAAAAAGATTGTATATTCAAATTTTCTAACTTACTGCTTTAAAAATTAAATATTTTGAACTTCTATTACTATTTCTTATTTATTTATGATAAATTGATTGGAGCAAAAAAATTTTTTTTTCTTATACCACTGTTTGGCATTTGGCATTTGTAACTCTTTTGGCATTTGTAACACGATATAAAAATCAAAAAAATAAAAACGATGATAACATTAAAGAATCGTTATTTTGTAACGCAAACTACATATTATCTTTTGTACTACTTTTTTAAATTCTTATAAGGAATTTTAGTAAAAGAATAAAAAAAAACCAGAATAGAAAACTTGAAAAGAATTTAACTAAAAAATTTACATAACAAATTTTTCTATTTACTTTTAAATGAAATTTAACTGATTTTAAATTTAAATAGAAAGATCAAGTTTTATGAGCTTTAAAAATAAAAAAAAATCAATCTCCATATTTGATAAAAAAATATTTAAAACTCAGTAAAAGAAAGTTTAGCTTCTCAAACTCGTGCTAACATTTTTTGCTTTACTTGTTCACTTGTTCATAAGTTCAACAATTTTTATGTTGCTTAAATAAAAAAAAGTTTCGTTCACTTTCCAGTTTCCTGAGAGACGCGGGTGGGTCTGTTAGAGGTTTGTACAAGCATGAAATTAAAGGCGTCAGATTGTGTTTGTTTTTTTATTTATTTAGGATTAAGTATTATCATTATTATCAAGAAGCCTTGAACTTACATCTCTTAACTTCTGGCCAGCGCTCCTTGGGGACTCGTTCATCGATGTAATCCACACCGGCGTGTGCGAAAATGTAACGGATGTGCTCGGCTCTTCCTCGGGCATTGAAGTAAATTAACTTATAGCTGGACTTTTGCTCTTCCGACATCCTGTTAAGCTATCCGGCTGGACTGTACTGACTGCGCTGGAAATCTAAACATGATAAAATTACCCAGTTATTTCTTCATACATTTATTCATTAAAAAAATAGAGCTAAGAATTAAGTGGTGAAAAGAAAAAAAAATCTTAACTTTTTACACTAGTAAAAAATTATTTAAACATTAAAGTTATAATTTTCATGAATACTGAATTAGATATCAAACAAGTAATAAAAGAAAAATTATATTATTTGTAAGAAAATATTTTAAATATGAGTATACTTCGATATTTAGTAAATTACATCGATCCACATTGATGAAGAATTTGTTAATAATACTTTATAAGCTTTATTGACAATTAATAAGTGATTTTTAAACATTATGTGATTTAATAAATATTTGATTGGAATCTTAAATGAGTCTCGATGATTATAACATCAGAATGAGTTTATATCTTTAAAAATATCATTAGTTGACAAGATACAATGTGATTTCTTAACTATTGATATTTTTAAAGATATGAGCTCACCTCGATATTACACTCATTGAGACCTTTCATTTTGAGTACCAATGTGAATTTATCATATCGACGTTCTAATTAGCAAATTGTCTAACTCCATTTTAGAGAATCTTCTATTTTTACGAAAAAAACAATTAGTTCAAAATTTATTATCACTTTAAAAAACAATTTAATGTCATTAATATCTAATAGAAATATAATATATTTAGGTTTGAATCATTCAAATAATTTATAATTGGATTATTGCTACATCAAAATGTTAAAAAATCACCCTCTAAAAAATAACAAGTTAGACAAATTGCTAATTAGACCGTCGATATAGATCATATTTGTGAAATATTTTAAAATCTATTTTAAAATTGTTCTAAAAATGTCCAAAAATTTTCCAAAATATGTTCTTAAATTATTCAAAAAATGTTTCACACAAAATTTTAAGGACATAATTTTTATTAAATATTTGAAATCGACTGAAAATTTCTAAAAAGTGTTCCTGAAATGTCCAAAAAAATATTAAAAAATACTTAAAATTCATGAAAAAGTGCCTCAAATGCACTATTTAAAAATCTCCGATTATTTATAAGATGTCCTAAAAATGTTCCTTATTGTGGGACATTTTTAGAATCATTTTTTTTTTTAATACGGGTTAATTATCGACATTTTTAAAGCTATAAGCTTATTTTGATGTTACACTCATTGAGACCTCTCATTCGAGTACCCACATTAATTTTTTTTATATTTCATAAATAGTATATATAAAAAAAAATATGAAAAATTCACGTGGGTACTCAATGAAAGGTCTCGACGAGTGTAATATCGAAATAAACTTATATCTTTAAAAATATCATTACTTGATAAAATAAAATGTCATTTCTTAATGATTGACATTGAAAATAATTATTAATAAATTTAATGAGTGCAGAAATTGTTTCCAATTAGATGAATTTATTAACAGTTAATAAACTTTATCAGTGCGCCAGTTTAATATGGTCTAATGAATATCGAGTGATGAACTTTCAGAAAGTTTAGGCATATGAGAACATAAAAAAAAAATAACAAAAAATTTTTCTCAAAACACTTATAAGCGGATTAAGGAATGAATCGACAGTTATCGAAATCGCAATCAGATATTTAGCAAAATTATCGTTAAGTTACAAGCCAACGATGCCGTGATATTTCAGCACAATCACGGGAAACAATCTGACGTTTTCTATTCTTCAACATAGAGTTAAGTATACTCTGTAGTCGGGGATACGTGGTATATCATAGATTAGTAAGACTACCGTCTCGGTGTTGGTCTTAGCCCAATTCGCCAGAAATCTTTATCGAGCGTTGTAAGATTCTTGAAGGCTGATTAAGGTAGTTCCAGCATGAAATCACTTTTCGACAGATTCAGCTGAAATTTTTTTTACGGGTTCAGAATAGCTTTATTTATAAATTCCTGAATTTTCATAATTTTTGACCGTTTAGATCGCGAGATATTTAAAGTCAAAGTTGGCGATTTTGAGGGTCACGTTTCCTTTAAAGTATGTAAAATGTCCGGTCTCTCCAACTATTTTTTATTATATTAAAAAATTCTCTCGACAGAATTTAAAAAAAAATTAGGAAAGTGTTGAAAAATGTTTTTAGAATAAGCTAAAAAAATAAAAATAGCACCTCACCGTTTTGTTATCGAGATATAATAATTTAAAAAAATAAATTTCGATCCATTTCTAACCTGCTCACTTAACAACTTATAGTGATTTGGCAACGCCGTGCGCAACGCTCCCTGAAATAGTGTAGCATAAAAAGCGGGAAATTCAAATCTTTCACGGTTTTGAAGAGCAACGTTGCCAGATCACTAGACTAACAATATGTAATATTAAAATTGTATATGCGAAAGTCTGTGTTCCGAGGCTTTTAAATTTTTGTCCATAGTAAATGCTCTGACTATACTATACCACGCTGGAACTACGTTAAGTCAGAAAGGCAGCACACGCAACCCGATCATTAGTTTCGTAAATAAACTGCTCTGATAATCAGATAATGAGAAATATTTATTTAGCCTTTTTCAAATAGATTTTTTGGAGTAAAGTTCTACGGGAAATCCTACACCTCTCACAGAAACAAAACTAAAAAAAATTTATTTAAATTTTACTTGATATACGTATCAAGAATTGAATTTAAATTATTTCTTTCTTCACAATAATTCAATACAATACCCGTTTCCAAATGAAATTAATCCAGTTAATCCACTACCTTTACGTTGATCTCGTCTCTCCTTACAATTATTTAATTAAAATTATTTTTAATTTTCCTATCTCTCAATCAAGGTTACACTTTTCTTTTCAACGAATAATTTAATTTCACGGCGACTTTTATTCAGTATTAAATTGAAAAGATTTTCACTCCAGTTAATATTTTAACTCAACTATGAATATGTAAATATATAAGACTAAAATGCATTAAAAATAGTCGAGTTTATATCTCAACTTAAAAAGTAAAATCCTCGTAAAAGTACTGTTCAAACCAGGTCATAATGTACTAAGTCACTTGTTTCTTAACTTTAATTTCTGCTACTCAACTTCCTTGTTCACATATACTCGATCATATTCATATATTTACGTACATATATATATATATATACATATATATGACCTTTATCTTTATCTATATTTACCCATTGCATAGTGAGTATTTGAATACGAACGACAATAGCAAGGTCCCGCGTTTAGTTTCTCAAAGGAATGAACTGAAGGATAGTGGCCTTGGAGTTTTGTTTGTTGTGAAGCTGAGCAAAAATGATATTCACATATTTGTACAGATGTTTCATTTGGTTTTATTTATATAACTATATTTCGCTTCATTTTCTCTGTATTGTGCTTTGCTTTGGTTGCTTCACTCGGTATTCGGGTATTTTTTCAATACAATAGAGTTTTCTGAGCGACTTGACTCTTCACATTCTTTATCGTTATATTTATTCTCAATGTTAAGTGATGAGAAATATCATCAAGACTATCGAGTTAAATTTATTCTTATTTTTAAATGTTCACTGATAAAAAATTAACTTGAGATAAAAATTCATGAACCTAGTAAAGTATTGTGAAGAATTGCATTAGCTTGAATCAAACAAAAAAAAGTTTTTTTGACTAAAAATATTTTTTTTTTTTTTTTTTTAATAAATTTCTTTTTTTTTTTAGGGAAAAATTTAATTCTTTTTTCAGTGAATGAAAAATTGTCTCAAGAAAACAAGATTTATCAAATTTAGAAAAAATTATTTAAAAGCATTGAAAAATTGATAATTGCTGGAATTTAATCAGCTAAATAATATTTTAAAGATCGTTCTAATCAAAAATCCTATTGTTTTATTAGTGTTCGATGGACAAAAGTTTATCATACATCCCAAAATACTTTTTTTCTTATTCGCAAGGGACTAATCATTGATTTTATCAATGCTATACTTAAGGGTAAAGGTAGCAGTTCTATTCGCCGAATGATCCTGTTCGAAAATACTTTTATTCTTATCTGAACAGAATTACAAACTTAGGGACGATCAAACAATTCAGGATCGCTCGTAATCTTCAATTCTATAGTAAAGTCCTAGAATGAATCATAAAAATAAAACTTTAGTTCTTATGCCATAATTTACTATCGTTGTTATACTTTAATTATTTTTTAATCAGTATAAAAATAAAAAGATTTGTTTAACTCTTAAGAAATGTAGGTCTTGAAATAGGCTACTTAATAAAATTTTCAAAAGAAAATTATTCATGACCGCAATAAAATTTTATTGCAAAAGTGTTCAATAAAATGCAATCTTCTACTCCTTCGACGGGTGTTTCAATATAAAAAAATTCCGACTGTAGTATCAGTCCGGCTACATCGATGGATGCACAACATGCATGCACTAAAAAAAATTGAAAGTAAACTCTGAGAGCATTTTCAATTCGAATTCTCAGCGACGCTTGAAGTTTTAACTAAATATAAATCAGCAGTTGAAGTAAATACAGTTTTTTTAGGTTTCGCGAAGGAGATTTTATTTTGGTTGACATTTTCGAAGGATTCTCTATTTTTTTTTTTTTAATTTATATTTAATTGATGACAAATTTATTTAATGTAGATTTAAATAGAAATTAAAATTTTTATTTATCAAAAAATTGACTTACTATATTAAATAGGGTAAAAGACCTCATTATTGGCGGGGATCCCATTACTGACACTTTCTTTGATTTTGGTACTTATTCAATTAATGAAATCATTAATTTCTATTATGAATATATTATTTCCTATTTCTAATCTTTAAGACCTTTAGATCAAAAAAATTTTTAATTTTATTTCAAGTAGAACATTTTTTCATTGAAAGAAAAAGTGCGACTAATAGGGGCTTAGAAGTGCCACTAATGGGGTCTTTTACGTTACTTAAATTTTTTCATTTTATCAATAGATGATTACTTTATACTTTTCCCTTCAGAGGCAAATTGCTATTTTGCTTTATCAAAACTTTGCGCTACTTATGTGTTCAAATTTTGTAATTTTTTAAACAGAAAGTCAGTAAATAT